TAGTGTCCTCTGGGGTGACCTGGTCATGCATGCACGGTATGATTTAGATGTAGAAAGGACTGCTGCTGACAACAGCTAGCAAATCGTGCAAAAGGAACACCTATTTTTCAAAGGTTTAGGTGTTCATTCTGCCATGAAACAAAATTACAAAGACGGTAAAAAGAATGAAACTTACTATTTTATTTTATTTGCAACACGCAACACTCGTGCACATTCCTTTGCACACAGGGCTGTCCATGGCTCTTTCATGGCGTTTTGGCGAGAACACTTGGATGAATCAGATGATGGCTTGGGCAAGTTGATAAAACCTACAGTGCATAAAAGAAAACAAATACACGAGCAGCAAAAAGACAGGAAATAACTCGGTACATTATTTTATGTGTCTTTTTTCTGCTTATGTACAGTGTTTGCACGATTCTAAAGTACCCCCATTTCTAATGCGCAAGCATATTTACCTCCCGAATATTAAAAAGGTTTGTTGATGAAAATTTTACCACGCAGATAAAATAATGGAGATCGTACGCTACATGCCTATGGAACGTTTCATAGAACATACTTCCATAATAAGAAACAAAATATTACAAACTAGTCACCATCACAGTCCCAGCGTAATTCTTTGTTACCATCCAGAAGCTCCAATGGAGTCGCTGCTTTCCATTCAGGGCGTTTAAAAATGTGCCATCAGTTTTAAAGCAGTTTTGTTTTCTCCAATCATGCATGCAGTCTGGAAAACAAAGGGAGTTATATAAATGTGCCTAATCCTTAAACATCCTACCACCAACCAATCACAGCTATTAGTTGCTGAGCAACTAATAGCTGTGATTGGTTAAACATGTGATTGGCTAAACATGCATTTGCAACATACTGATTGTCCAGTTTTTACGAAACTGCAAGGAATGTGTTAGTCATATTTCAAGCATACTACAGCGTATTTGCAAGATATCAAAGACTTGAAATATATATAAACTAGCTAAGGGCCCGCTATATATGTATGGTGCGTGCCCCTGCTGAAGGAAGAGGCACATATTGGACCGAAGTTTAGAAATTGTTTCTTCAATTTCAGAAATAACAATTTTTCTAAAATTCTGTAATTTCTTGTCTGGGTTCTGAACTATGTAAAACAATAAAGTAATTATTTTTAATAATTTTAAACCGACCACCTCTGCAAGTTAATCAGTATGAATTTTGAGCATTTTGCCATTCCTTCAATATTGATGATTATTTTAAGAGAAAACTAACACAAATTATATACCAAAACAACTTTTAATCAAGACCTCTTGTGAAGTGCTAGTAATTTAAGCAATTTTAAGGCATTACGACCTTCCCACTTGCAGAGAAGTAAATGGCGGATAGCATCATTAGGGAGTTTCATCAGATTGTTTTTGAGCCTGATAACGATACCATAAAAATACAACGCATGCTCAAGGCCGTCGGAGAGGAGGTATCGTTATCGGGCTTATGGGAACTGTTTACTAAAACTCCCTATTTCAAGAAATTTTTAACACCGCTGCCCTACCGCAGATAGTTAAAAAGCCACGATCAAAACTATTTCAACGTACTATGTAGGGACACGTTGACTTGCTAAAACTGTGTTTAAATGATAGCCTTGTTTTGAAAATTTTCAGGAAAGAGAGTAACTTGTATACCCTAAGGTGCATTTTACACAATATTCAAGGTGGCACCAATTTTATATCACAAAATATGTTGAGAAATGCTCTTTTATATAATCATAATGCCTGCAAACTTTTAAAACAGAATCCGTAATGGTCGATTTTAGGCTAGATCGTTTGGCGTGGAATGACCATGCATAGAAAGAACCGTACACGCGCGGAAATCAGATGCTAAGAATTAAAAACATAAAAGTAAAACGAAAATGTGATCACGAGAAAGGTTGTCTATGGAAGTGAGGATAGCCACCTTACACCAAAAAGTCTTAGGTTCGTTTTTCGAGTTGATTTTTGGGCCCAATTTTAAAATGTACATTATTAAAGGGGCCCCTATTTTTGCGAAAAGAGTAAAATTGTGCAAACACAGTTTTTGTTTTCCTTTATGCACTGTGGATTTTATCGCTTAGAGATTTTTCATTTACTTGACAGTCCTTGCACTGCACCCCTCTGCCTCCTCAGTTCACATGTCTTCTGCGACAGCCACAGCCGCACATTCTTCATAGATCCTGAAATCTCCTCCTTGCAGAGGCCCTTTGCCTCGGCATAATGCCTGTAAAATTCTGAGAAAAAAATCACTCATTAGTTCAATGCCAACAGAAGTTTTCAGCTTAACTGATGACAAAAAGTGCGACACCCAATGTGCAACATAGTTAGCAGACCAAATCATCCCAACAAGCACTTAAAGCTCATATCCAGCGAGCACTGCAACTTAGCCACACGGGCACCGGCGACCTCGACTGAAGACGCGCCCATTGTTTCTTTCTGATTTTGATGACCGAATGCTGTCACATTGCAGAAAAGTTGTTGTTGCCGCCCTTGTTCTACTACTGCTTCTGTAGTCCGACAGAGCAAATGCCCAACAAGTTGACTCAATGTTGATAAGCTAGTGGAGATATTGCTGCCGCACAGATGACGGTGAAGACAGGGTAGAGACTCCTTGAGCTTCCCTTTTTCCCCGATGATGCATAGCAGATCTTGTTGTAAGCCGACGTGGTCGCACTCACAGAGATGTGGTTGGCCTAAGCCGCCTTGGAGCACCTTTTGGAGCAGCCAAAACAGTGTTTTGGAGCAGCATAAGTGGCCCTTGGAGCAGCCAAAACAGTGTTTTGGAACAGCAAAAGTGGCTTTAGCAGCAGCTAAAACAGTGTTTTGGGAACAGCAAAAGTGGTTTTTGGAGCAGATATTCTTAGAAAAAAATAAAAATATTTGTTTTAAGTGCTGGACAGACGAAGGACATTTTGCTCGCCGCAATAAAGAAATTATAGTCAAGTTAGAGCACCTGGGAGTCTTTCAACATGTAACTGAAATGCCTATGACATGACATATTTTGCAAAGCTTCAGTTAAATTATACATATATATGTACCCATAATAGTTAAATACGACCCAAACTGCACATATCAAAATTTATTTGAAAATGACCAGCTTAGTAGTAAATAACACAGTTTTAGGTAGACTAGTTATAATGAATGAAAGCAGTCTCCAACTGATTGAATGAACGAAAGCAGCCTCCAACTGATTGCAATGCAATGCAAAATTGTCGCGCGAGCGGAGATGGCTCTTCGATCGAAACCATGCCACTCTGCTCCGTCGCCAAGTGATTCCCAAAATTGTTTGCAAAATGTAACTGTCCAGCATACGACAAAAAACAGTCCAGCGCTTGCCAGGCCATCAGGCGAGGTACAAGCTAAACACAGAGAAAAAAAAAGAACCTGAGCACATCGATGCAAGCCATCGCGAGCCACGATCAAAAAGTTCTTCTGAACTCATGGCAAACAAGTGCGCTGTGCGGGTTCACAGTGCAGACATTGCCTTCTTTGCTTTAGCTCACTTTTTTTCACCAACTTTCTTTCGCGGCAGGTTTTTCACGTACCGGGGTCCCTCCCGAAAGAAGGCTCACCGAGAGAAACCTAGGCAATCAATATTTGACACATCAGTCTTTGAGCTAAAGATAGATTTTTGTAGTAATGCGTGATTTAAACAAGAACAGGAATATTGATGAACTTGTGGCGGTACATAGTTTGTTTTTAGAAAGCGCCATAACTGCAGCGACGTGGGGACGGCATCACCTGACGTCGCGCGACCACGGTGACTAGCAGGCAGGGAACAAACATAGTTTTCCCACGGCTGTTGCTTTGCTTTCAGGAGCGAGTACCTCAGCTCTCAAAGCAACTCCCGCCGCACAAAAACGTAATTTTGTTTCAAAGCATGACGGCATGGATGGTACCCGGCACGCTATAGCCTCGGAGCGTCTGCACACAAACATGTCTATCGCTGATTTAAAAAAAAAACGCGAGACAACGAGAGCGCGAAACGAGAGACAGCGGGAAAAACCACGCAAGACCGAACGACTGATGCAGGGTACTTTGTGTCGGGCGGCCGCTCGCGCCACTTAGCTCACGTGCGCTAATTTACGGTACTCAGTTTAGTTCCGGTTTTGAAAGGTGACCAAAATTTGTCCTTCGGCGCAGGCTTGGCGCAGATTACTCATATTTTGGCGAAATGTAGCAGGATGTAGCAGAGTTAGCCCCTTGGTGCATTTTGGCGCAATCGGCGCAGCAATCACATCACTGCACTTGGTTATGCTCGGCATGACTGTGTCAACCACCCTTTATGTTACATACAAGCCGTTCCACTTAAGTGAAAAAAGTATTAAAGAAAGCGAATTGCGTTAGGGGATATTAGCTTGCCTGAATTGGCGGCCACGAAGAATAAGACTGCTTGTGCAATTAAGGGCCTATTTAACGGAGATATATTAATTACAGTCGTCGAGCAATTTTTTGTACTTCATAAAACCGAAAAAGCGTTCGAATAATAAAGCAGTTTAATCATCCTTAGATTACAAAACTTAGCTTTATTGAGTCTAATTGGACTTGAAAAAGTCGCGAAGAGTACCTTGTTTTATGTTCCGTCTGCAGGCAATCGCATCCGCCTGCATCCGCGCCAGCGTCATATCAAATACCATGTAAGCCAATACTGGCAACTCCCGCGGATCGCGGGCGAAAAGTGATCGCAGTGCCCCTGGCGAGCTCGGAGTCTCCGCTAGCAGACGAATTCTCCCCAATGCATTGGTTTTGCCTACCTCCGTGCGAGGTGAGCAATGAAAAAAAAATTGCCACGGGTATTCGCTGCTTTGAATGTTAAAAAGTAGGTTCCACGGTATATGAAAAGCACCTGTAATGAACTTTTAAAAATGATGTGCTTACTTTTGAGTGCATCCACCTTGTGCGGTGTCAGCGGCTTCTGTGGGACCCTGTCCCCTCCCCCTGCGATACATCGATTGGAAAGCGTTCCCGTGAAGCTCCGTTGAACGAGCACCTCGGTGGACCATATGGCTACGGCTGCCCGCTTGACGAAGTGGGAGTCCTTCTGGAGGGCCATGAGCGTATCATAGGAGCTTTTTGAAATTGCCACCTCGTTCGAGAGATGTACCTGCAGATAACAACATGAGTGTTATGGCGTACCGTGAATTCACGAGGGCGCCCATCAAACCATTCGGCCAATCTTGGCCGCGACACGATCACATGGTCGTGTTGCCGCGGGGTCGATCGGGATCTCGAATTCGGCTCCCGACGCGCCGCTTTCTCTCCTAGCCACTGGAGGGCGCTGCAGGCGCCCCCGTGGCAGGCGAGGAGAAACCTCCTCGCCCATCGATAGATATACTCGGTGGGGCAGGGGGCGAGAGGCCTCTAAGAACTCCGGACGCGACCGAGACGCAGGCACTGGCAGGCAAGTGGGTGGCGACCGGATCTGGATATCGCGGGACGCGAGGCCTAAGGGCCTACTTTGTGTTTAGCGTTGGTCTTAACGTGCGTTTGTAAATATTTGTATAATGTCGCGTGTATTTGTAGTTTAGATTAAGTGTTTTGTAGCGTTGTGTTTTGTTGTACGAATAAACTGGGAGCGGAATCCCGCTCCCGTGAAAGAACCAAACTTTTCCTCTCTCGATCCGGAAACCCAACAAGCTGATCTCAGAAGCTCCAATTTGGGCTTTAGTCGGGTTTAGTGTGAGGCCGGCGATCCGTAGTTTGCGCAACACGTCCTCAAGGTGACGAAGGTGGTCCTCGAAAGTTTCCGAGTACACAATGATGTCGTCCAGGTACGCGAGCGCGTGCTGCCACTTGGCATCTCCGAGCACCCCGTCGATCAACCGCTGAAATGTCATCGGTGCACCTGTTAATCCGAACGGCATCCGAGTGAACTCGAACAAGCCTCGGTGACACACGAATGCAGTTTTGCTTTCGTCGCCCGGGCTCATCTCCACTTGGAGGTAGCCTTTGCTTGCGTCGAGGGTAGTGAAATACTTCGCCTTTCCCAGATTCGAGATGATTTCTTCGATGCTCGGAAAGGCGAAGTCACGTGCAGAGCGATGCGAGTAAGTTCTTCTCGGCGGCGTTGGCCCCCAAGTGGGTTGGCCCCTTTGTCATCGATTCCAAGAAGTCTCGACTGACATACACGCTGAGGGACCAGAATTCTGATCTCGTCCGCGGGACAGTTCGCCGATGTGAACTGTCCCGCGGACGAGATCAGAATTCTGGTCCCTCAGCGTGTATGTCAGTCGAGACTTCTTGGAATCGATGACAAAGGGGCCAACCCACTTGGGGGCCAACGCCGCCGAGAAGAACTTACTCGCATCGCTCTGCACGTGACTTCGCCGCAGAACGGTGTCGCCCACCTCGAACTGCGCATCGCGGTGCGCTTTGTCATAGGTGTGCTTCTGCTCCGCCCGCGCGCGAGCCCTGTTTCCACGGGCGGCGTCCAGCGCCCGCGACAGTCGCTCTCTTGTGCGCGTCGCGAAATCCTCGTACGAGGGCACCGCTCTGGCCGCGCTCTGTCGCGGGCGAAGAACCGCATCGGTCGGCGTAGAGAGTTCTCTGCCGAAGTTCAAAAGCGCAGGCGTGAACCCAGTGCTGCGGTTGAGGTTGGACCGCAATGCAAACGAAATCGAATCCAAATGCAGATCCCAGTCCCGCTGCTTTCGAGCATACGCCCCGAGCAGCGGCTTGATGTCGCGGTTCCGCCGCTCGGTCACATTTGCTTGTGGATGGTAACACGAAGTCTTACAATGCTTAATCCCGAGGGCCTGGCAGGTTGCCGCGAAGACTTTCGAGCAAAATATCGAGGCGTTGTCACTCACCAGTCTCTCGGGGAACCCGTAGCGACACCAGACCTCGGACAGCCTGCTCAGGACTCCCTTGGCTGTCACCTTCCGCATTGGAAACATCTCGACGAATCCGGTGAAGTGGCAAGTGACTACCAACACATGTTGATAGCCTCCGCTTGACCGCGGCAGTGGTCCCATCAAGTCGCAGGCTGCGATCTCCCATGGCCGCGTACTCACGATGGGCTCGAGCAGGCCGAGTGGTCTGCCGCCCCTGGGCTTGCGCTCTTGGCACACTGCGCAGCTACGGACATAACGGCACAGCTGCCCCTTCATGCCCGGCCAGGTAGCGAAACGGCGAAGCTTATGCCACGACTTCGGTGCACTGCCGTGACCGTCCGCATCGTGGTAGTGACGCAGCGCTGCCACTCTGAGATCGCGGGGAATCACGGTCTTGAACGACTCACTTGAATCGCTCTCTTCCGGGAAGTAGCGCAGCAGGACGCCGTCCCCATCGATCAGGTAAGATTCCAGCTCACCTGCTTCGATGTCTGACTCCTGGGCGATGGCACTTGGCCCTCTCGGTGTTCCGGAGTGCCGGAGCGTCTTTTCGCCCGTCTGGTCAGGATCCATCTCTTGCCTGAGCCGGTCGAAGATAGCGCGACAAAACGAATCGCTCTGCTGTGCTTCGTACAGTTCCGTTCGGTTGAACGCCGGTCCCAGAGAGGTAATCGCCTCAGCCAGCTGCGCGACGCCGCCACAGTGACGAGCGGAGCGCGAGGCGGGATTTCCCGTCTCCTGGGGGATGGCCCCGCCCCCGTAGTCTGCTGCCTCGCGCGGTGGGGGATCCACGGGTGCGCGGGAGAGCGCGTCGGCCACCACATTTGTCGTGCCCTTCCGGTACCGAATTCGGTACTCGTACTTCTGCAGTGTCAAGGCCCAGCGCGCCAGTCTTCCGGCGGGTTCCTTGATTCGGGAGAGCCACGCGAGGGCCATATGGTCCGTCTCGATCGTGAATTCCGTCCCCTCGACATAATGATCGAACTTCTTAAGAGCAAAAATGATGGCGAGGCATTCGCGCTCACTCACCGTGTAGTTCTTCTCTGCCGGGTTCAGCGCCCGGCTGGCAAATGCCACCGGGCGGATCTCTCCCCCTGTCTCCTGCAAGAGCACCGCGCCGAGTCCTTGGTCGCTGGCGTCCGTCTGGATCGCGAAGGGCCTATTCAGGTCTGGCAGTTTGAGGGATGCTGTACGCGCCAAGGCCTCGGTCAGCTGGAGGAACGCCTCCTCCTGCGGCGCCTCCCAGCTCCAGGGAGCCGCTTTCCTCAGCAATTGCGTGAGGGGTGCCTGCATGGCTGCGCAGTTCGGGATGTAGGCTCGGTAGTATCCTATCATGCCGAGAAAACGGCGCACTCCCCCGACATCGGTAGGGACTGGGAACTCCAAGATCGCCCGCAACTTGTCCGCGTCGGGGGAAACTTTTCCTCTCTCGATCCGGAAACCCAACAAGCTGATCTCAGAAGCTCCAATTTGGGCTTTAGTCGGGTTTAGTGTGAGGCCGGCGATCCGTAGTTTGCGCAACACGTCCTCAAGGTGACGAAGGTGGTCCTCGAAAGTTTCCGAGTACACAATGATGTCGTCCAGGTACGCGAGCGCGTGCTGCCACTTGGCATCTCCGAGCACCCCGTCGATCAACCGCTGAAATGTCATCGGTGCACCTGTTAATCCGAACGGCATCCGAGTGAACTCGAACAAGCCTCGGTGACACACGAATGCAGTTTTGCTTTCGTCGCCCGGGCTCATCTCCACTTGGAGGTAGCCTTTGCTTGCGTCGAGGGTAGTGAAATACTTCGCCTTTCCCAGATTCGAGATGATTTCTTCGATGCTCGGAAAGGCGAAGTCACGTGCAGAGCGATGCGAGTAAGTTCTTCTCGGCGGCGTTGGCCCCCAAGTGGGTTGGCCCCTTTGTCATCGATTCCAAGAAGTCTCGACTGACATACACGCTGAGGGACCAGAATTCTGATCTCGTCCGCGGGACAGTTCACATCGGCGAACTGAAACCCTTTTTCCCCAGGGAAGGGGATGAGCCGGTCAAGCGGCCGCAAAGGGGCATTCGCGGGCGCCAACGATCTCAGGAGTTCCTGGGACCACCGCGGCACAGCTACAACACGCGTAGCCGGAGGCAACCCGATGGGATCGGAACCTCGTAGAGTGCGTGGCCCGGGAAAGGGAAGAAGAGAGGGTAGCGATCCGAAATCGGCGTTCCCGGCATATATTTTTTTTATTGTTTTTTTTTTTTTTGTGGATGGGGGAGGGTGCCTCGGAACCCTTAGTGCTTGTTTTTCTTGTTTTTGCTTTGAATGTTTTTTTTGTTTGTTTTTGTGTGCGGCGTTGCTGTTGGTATTGGGGTACTGCTCCCTCGCTGGGCGCACGCCTTGGACTTTTCCCATCTTGTGCGTCATCGCCCCTGCGGCTGCTGCTTCGAGACGCAACTTGGTGTGCACGAATGGTCCTCTCTGGGAGAGGATGAAAGGAGGAGTCGCCGTTTGGACAAACACCAGCTTGGGCTGAACTCCTCGTCTTCTGGCAGCGTATTCCCCGGCAGGAACCACAGCTCGGGGAGCTTTGTGGGACGTCCGCGACGCCACGCAGGACGCCGGGGTGCAGTTCTCAGTGACACTGGACTTCCAGCCCCGCATCGTTCCGGGAGGGCGGTCGCAGCTGGGTCGCAACCACAGTCCCTCTCCGGTGCACCACCCTGTGGAGGGGCCAGTTTCAGGGTGGCCAGGCACACTGCTCAAGGACCCCGTTGCCCCGGAGGCCGCCGCCAACCTGAAGTCGACACAGTCTACTGTGAGGTGCTCGGGATAACTGATGGACCTCAGTAAGGACGACCCCTGGGACCAGCGGTGTGTGTGTGCGTGTGGGGGGGGGGGGGGGGGGGGGGTCTCCAGGCCAAACCAAGCGACGGTGTACCCAGCAGCCTAGCCGTACGTCTGAATTCCGGCGTACTTCGATTTTTAGGAGAGGGGAGTATGGCGTACCGTGAATTCACGAGGGCGCCCATCAAACCATTCGGCCAATCTTGGCCGCGACACGATCACATGGTCGTGTTGCCGCGGGGTCGATCGGGATCTCGAATTCGGCTCCCGACGCGCCGCTTTCTCTCCTAGCCACTGGAGGGCGCTGCAGGCGCCCCCGTGGCAGGCGAGGAGAAACCTCCTCGCCCATCGATAGATATACTCGGTGGGGCAGGGGGCGAGAGGCCTCTAAGAACTCCGGACGCGACCGAGACGCAGGCACTGGCAGGCAAGTGGGTGGCGACCGGATCTGGATATCGCGGGACGCGAGGCCTAAGGGCCTACTTTGTGTTTAGCGTTGGTCTTAACGTGCGTTTGTAAATATTTGTATAATGTCGCGTGTATTTGTAGTTTAGATTAAGTGTTTTGTAGCGTTGTGTTTTGTTGTACGAATAAACTGGGAGCGGAATCCCGCTCCCGTGAAAGAACCAGGCTGGACTCGGGTTGTTGACGGACCACGTGGGAAACGGCGAATCGGCGTCGGTACGCGATTTCCTACAGTGTCATGCTTTGTTCAAAGAACCTGCCCAAGAAAGAAAATACAGTTAAACCTTGTTGGTGCGTTTTCGAGGGGACTGCGGAAGACAAATATGATCTGGGAAATTTTAGCAAGTGATACCACTCTTATGAAGCATTTCGATGAGACAAGAAGCAACTCTCACACAACAAGCGGCAGTCAAGCTTCTTTTCGTCCGTTTCCTCAAATGAAGAGCCTACCGTAGAATGCTGTGCAACCACCCATACCACACTAAGCGCCCATACCAAAATTTGTAAGATCTGAGAAAATATGCATAGTACATTGATATGTAAAATTGATGACCAGACAAGCGCCCATCCCCCATTTTTTCGCGATTATCTCTAAATCTTGAGTGGGCGCTTGCCCGGTATTTTACGGTATTTATAAAAAAAAGAAATTTCCGAGCCACTACACCAACCCAGGTGCTCGGCTACATGAGTTGCTGCTCCTTGCACACGCGTGCAGAGCGGTGATGCTTGACGAGAGTGGCTAGGTGCAAGGGCTACATCGTAGAGGCAAGGTTAATATGATAACCAGCTGATATTCTCAGGAGACCCTGTTTGTCTTATCATAGCATCTGTGATCCTAGCATTTTGCCCTTCTCTACTTTTTAGCTTGATGCTCGCAAGATCACTGACATTGTGGCAATGGCATCACCACCACCACCATCATCATCAGCTGAAAATTCAGTTGATGCGGCGGACTGATGTTTTTGCGTTTCCTTTTTTCTCCCAAAACTATAGAATGGATTAGGTTGGCTAATGAGGGACGTGTTTAACGTTTATACAAGTTTGTTTGTGTTTCAATGTTTTTTGTTAGAATTTTATGGATCTTATGTCCTCACCCCTGCTATAATGCCGAACAGCGATGCAGGCCTCTATGTAAATAAAAAATAAATAAAATGACAACGTAGCCTGCACGTTCGACGTGCAAATTTCAGTCAAAGCAAATTGGGACACCGTGAAATAGCTTGTAGTTACAAGTCAAAACCTTTCTTTGCAGCGACACCATAATTGCCAATGTGCACAAACTTGTTGGGACTCCATGCAAAAATAAACTAGTGTCGCTAGTATAAGCAAGGAAACCGAGGACATCAGAATGCATGCATCGGAGAAAAAGAAGGAAAGATGGACTGGCTGTTGTGAAAGCCCCCTTTGTTTTCCACCCATTTCCCTCAATTTGCCTCTCTGCACCATGCGTCTTGACTAGCTGGGCATGACCTTGGGCTCGGCTCGGGAAGGAGTCTAACTTTTGCAAAAGCAAGTTTATCTCTTTTTTCTTTCTCTTTCTGCTGGATCCGTGAGTACTATGGGTGTAAGATAGGGAACCCTTGCCGTGTCGCCTGCGTCAAGCTTCACAGCAGTAGCGTGTGCCAGCACAGCGAAGTTCACTGCGTTGCGCCAGTGTGCTAGGAGCAGCAGCTCATGCCGTAGAGCACACGATTGGCTTGATGGCTCAGATTTTCCTGATTTTAGCGAGGCAGCCCTTTTTAGTTATGGTTATGGATTGACCCCTTATACAGTAATGTCTCATTAACATAGACCCCGATAGTGTAGACAAAACGTTTGGGACTGGTGGTTGCTTGCCATGCAATTGTTCCTCGTTAATATGAAAACTCGCAGGTCCAGACTATGGACGGCCACTTTGGGGATGGAATAGGTAAATACAGGCAACTTTGTCTCGTTACTATGAACAGGAGTTGATGAACACAAGGAAGAAAAAAGATTAGTGACCCACAGGTGTCCCAGTGTCTACCTGGAATTTACTTTTGTCTGTTCGTTGCCCGTTTTGTTATTTTTGGAGGCGGGTCAGCAACCGCAAGCCTAACAGAAAAAGAAAGAAAAGGTTATTGAATTCGAGAGGTTACGGCGTGTACCATGAATTTACTATTGTCCGTTGTCTGTCTTCAGATAAGACCTGCCGACCTCAAGGTGTCAGGGTTTTTTTTTTTTTCAGGCTTTCAAGTGGAGAAGTACCTATATCATTCCTTCCCGGGGTGACATTCATGATGAATCACATTCACTGTGCATAATAGGCAAGGCTGGTCGCTTCCACGATTAGTTCAAAGGTGGAAAAGACGATGATGAAGCGTAAGCAGACAGGGCTACACCTGCGAGTTATGCTTGTTAGTTCTCTAACCTACTTTCACCAATGGCTGCACAGCGGCGCGCCGATCACCATCCACGGACTGTATAGCAACTCAGCAAACAGGTGTAGCGAGTTGTTTTAAAAAAGCTTGATCAATGGTGTATTGTTACATATGTTACCTGGGTGATTCCATGAGATCGAACCTGCATGTTCACTCAACATTTTTATCTTTTGTGGTTTTTTTTTATATGTGATGTACACACAAATGCATCGCACAAAACTGAACTTTTTTTTCTCCAAAACGCGTCTTCAATACGAGAAAATTTTTTTTTCAAGATTGTGCAGAAGCCTTGCTTTCACCGCGGACTTCCCGAGCGGTAGGTGAGAAATGTTTTCTGTTTCATGTAACACACCAAAGTTTAAGTCAACTGTATGCAATTATTATGTGCTTTATGAATTAAGTAATATATAAAACATTCATAACTTTAGACCAGGTGCAACAAAAACACTAACTTTCAGGCCTTCTACCTCAATGTGATGGCCTTAGCGACTTTGAAAACTAGACATAATATAGGCCAGACATCTAAATTATTCCTGCAAAATATGAACTTCCGATAAAAATATAAAGATAGAAAAAAGTTATTTTGAAAAAATACATTTTAAAATATGTTAAATTGAAAAAAAAAAGAATGGTCTTGATTTTTGTTAAAATTTGGGGTACAACTCTCCTTAGGCCAGGCAAAAACAGCATTGCGACCCAACTCGTCGGTCGCAATGCTGTTGCGACCGACGAGTTCCCCCGCTGACGACCAACGCCAGTGGCCACGAACCAGGCAGAGTCAAAGTTCACGTGCAGTGAAGCTCTGCATCTGTGCCTATCCTGGGCATACATGCACAAACACACAAATGTCCAGATGACATCACTGGCGCGCCAACACCAACTCTGCCACCGCGCATTCGAAAAGAGTCTAGCTGAACTGTCACAGTAATCCACCTTGATGCACCCAAAGTTGTGGATTCTCTAAATATTCTTCAAGGAGGAGGCGTTTATGAGCCATCATATTTAGGTCGTTGTAGCGCATCGACAACTGTTCGTGCTGGAGTTAGGCTGAAGTCTGCTTGAATCTCGTTTATTAGAAGTGTAGAGAATAAGGGCACAACGCCTCAGGTACGAGGGTATGGGGCGCTGATGTTGCAGCGGAGCCAAGGGAAATGTGTATGTTTGCCCCATGGCAAACGTGAGCTCATATCTTACTCCTGACAGCGACAGCGAACCACCTATATTCCTCACTGGCAAACGTAAATAAGCCTCCTTGGCTTCGCCGTAACACAAGTGCCCCGTACCCTTGTACCTGAGGCGTCATTCTTTTATTCCCTACAGTTTTAATAAACGAGACATGCGAAGTCCAAGTGTCGATTAAGGAGCGCAAACTTTTATGAGTGCCCGTAAACAACCACAAGAAACAACCACAAGAAAAACAGTTAAAAACAAAAATTCTGGAAAAATAGTTTTTATTACAGCAAGCTACAACAAATAAATTTCTTATTTGTGGCAAAAATTTTTTGTACTCTTTCCAAAAAAAAAAAAAAAAAGATACCAGCAGCGAGGTAAAGCGAAAAACGCCAGAGTCAAGGCGCTTTGCAACCGCCAATTTGACCACTCAGAACTTTTGTACCAAGCAAATGATGCAACATGTTTTTGTACATTCTTTTTGCCTGGCCTAAGCAGGGTTGTACCCCAAAGTTCTAAAAAAATCGAGACCGTTTTTTTTGCTTGTTTTTTCAATATGTCCCAAGTTTTTTTCTGAAATGTTTTTTTTTTTCTAAAATATTTTTTTTTATGTTTCCATTTTTATTCGAAGTTCATATTTTGCAGGAATAATTTAGATGTCTTGGCCTATGTTATGTATAGTTTTCAAAGTCGCTAATGCCATACATATTCTGGTAGAAGGCCTGAAAATGAGTGTACTTGTCGTACCTGGTCTAAAGTTGTGAATTTTTTAATTCATAAAGCACATAATAATTGCATGCAATGGACATAAACTTTGGTGTGTAGTGGACATAAACAGGAAACATTTTTGGCGTACTACCCTTTGCCTGCCTTCCACAGGACCACAAAGGTGGCAACTAATGCAGTCCGCAGTGGGAGCACGGCCGTCGCACAATCTTGAAACATTTTTCAACTCGTAGTGAAAATGCCACATACAAAAAAAAAACGGAAAAAATAAAAATGTTGAGTGGACCTGCAGGCTCGATCTCTCGTAGAATCAACCACCTATCATTTGTCAGATCAGTGCTGCACCTGCATGCTTTCTGCACTGAGTTCGCTCTGAAGAGATGGGGGTATCTGTCCGATAGTTACTAGAGGAAGTGCACTATGGAAGATTCCAGTCAGCAAACCCACATCATGCTGCTTGAATTTTAGATGCTCTCACCTTGCCGTCTCCTGTGACTGCACCAATTGCTCTCTCCACGGCAGGGGCCTCCTCCCGGCATACAGGAGGTCCCATGGCAGGTTGCAGCTCTGTCAATGGTCAAAAATACAGGGAAATATTTCCTAGCAAACTAAATCGAATCTCCACGTAATGCGGCAGTCTCACACTTGCCATCTTCATTTCTGGAGTTTAACTTTATTTTATTTATTGTATTTAGGGCACTTAGAAAGGAGCTACCAGGCTGTCGTTTTACAGAAATGTTTCTAATATTGGTGGGTAAATTACGACCAAACTTTATTGACATAATTTACGCAATTAGAAAAGTAAAAAATTGCTTACCAAATTGCAGATTTTTTTCACTAATAAGGTCAGGATTACCTTTTTTATGCATTCAAACTGCCAGGGCTCTGAGCTCATTCTGTGTAGAGCACTTTTTTTTGCAATTTCAATTTTAAAATAGACTTCAAAAAAAGTTTGAATTTTAAGTGTTCATAGATAATACATTTTTTTCGCCTTATTCTTCTACAGTCGAGCCCACTTATAACGATATCCAAGTGCCAAGAAAATACCATCGCTATAACCGATAATTGTTATAAGCGGGTTGAGAAAAAAAAGTCAAAAGAGAGATCAAAACATTTTATTTGCAGGCAAGTAAGGTAGTGCAAGTGCAACTACTTGTTTGCAGAAAAGCCAGAGTCTGTCAGCTTTGATTGATTCACGCGAAGCTGGCACACTTCTTTTTCTAGAGCATCTAGATGTTCCACGTAGGTTAGCGGGAGGTCCTTCGCGAAAACAAAGTCCCGGAGGGACTGTATCATCCGCTGGGCATCCTGCGATGACAGTACCTGGGTAGGCTCCTCAACCGCGTCGTCGGAGTCGTCGGTCTCACCGCTGTCAGCAGCACGTACACGCGCGACAATCGCCTCATCACTGAGGCACTCGGACGTTTCCACAACATCGTCTGTATGAAGGAAGTTGTCCAGACCCAATCTTGCGTAGAATGCGCCGCAGGCACATCGGCCATGACGCCCCGTCCGCAGTGAAACGTAAAACAAAGTCGGAGAAAGATAATCTAAGCAGTGAGCACACAACAGTCGAGTGAGCAAGCGAGTGGCGCCAGTGCGCCGAGTGCGCCAGTGGCGCGCGGACGAGGCCAAAGCGGCGGCTCCGGGTGGGGAGTTCGGAAGGAAAGCTGCTCCTCCTCTCGCTTCCTTCCTAGCAAGCGGCGCAGTCGAGTCGTTTTCTGAGGGGTGGAAGGGATGTGTGGCGCGGGGCACAGCATGCCGCGGAGAGCCAGCGGTGGCTGGCATTTTTGGCGCGCGCTGTAACCGGAATCAATCGCTATATCTGATATCGCAGCCCTGGAGCATCGTAATAAGCGGTTTATTTTACCATTGAAAGCATATAAAAGTGGACGGTGCTATCGTTATTCATCGTTATAACCGATATATTGTTATAAACGGTATCGTTATAAGTGGACTCGACTGTAAACATATCATGCGGGCTGAAAAACTGGGTCCCATTTCCTCTTTTAAATTTCGTATTTGTAGAAGCTGCTACTAAAGCGGTTTCCACAAGATGCCATGGTGTGTGCAACTGAGAAAGGACAGATGAAAGCTATGTCGCAGCAACTCAATTGCATTTTCAAAAGCGATTGAGATTTACTGTACCTTCATGTCCCCGAGCTTGTTGGGAAAAGCGCTGGGGTGGCAGCGGTAGCGGCGCCTCGTGTGAGCGGCGTGCCTCCTGTGTTGCGACGGGCTGGTTAAGCTCACAGACTGCAAGAGGAAGGGACCATTATTTTTTTTTCCCATACATTTGTTCACGCTTCATCCTTCTAGAAAAATCTCATGTCATGTTAAAAAAAGAAAAAAAAAAGATCCAATGAGATTGGGCAGGTGATCCTTCGATTTGATTGAACTTTAGAATGAACCGATGATGAAACGATTGACGTGCTTAACTTTTTCCGATCTAAATGACATACAAAGCTTTGTACAATTTCATATTGCATTATGAGTGAGTCATTTCAAAGTGGAGTCTAAAGGCTCGTTCACACTCTTGCAACCGAGTACGACCGAGAGAGACCAGACCGGTCTTTAAAGGGGCCCTCCAACAGTATTTGAGCGTCGACTTTTTTTTGCGGTTTCTACACGCTACTGGTCCCCGAAACCCAATGGACAACGAAAGAGTTTGAAAATATTAGCGCGTCATATTTTAATTTGACAACTCGGAAACACCTCCTCCGACGGTGGCGCCGCGAGATGCCGAATGCGCGCGCAAAACGGCGCTCCCTTTCACTATACGTCACATTCTCTGGGTTTCGTGATTGGCGAGAGCCGTCCCAGGAATTTTGAAGTGAAATAAAGTATATCACACGTTATCCGTCATTATTTCTCAAACAAGTCATTCTTACAGAGCTAATAAAGTTGCAAAGTAAAGTTCAAAAAGGGCGAAAACAACGCCTTGTGCCTTGTCGCTCATGCGCGCCTCCCAGCGGCGCCCGCGACGTACCATCGCAAGCAGACGACAAGTGATCAGTGCAGACAACGTGCATCGAATTTTCACTTGTGCGCCCCCGGTCCCGGTCAACTAAAAGCAGTAAGAGGAGCGAGGGGAACCCTTATTTTCTTTTAGTGATGTGACAGACTTTTCACTGTTCGAGTGAAGTGCGGCGAAGCTCCCCAGTTTGTACCTCCTACTCGCCCGTCTCCCGCAACTCCGGTGGCAGAGTTGCGGGAGACGAGTCTTCCGCGGCTGTCGACGCGGACTGAGACAGAGACGCGGCGCTTGCGTGGAGTGTCCTCGTACGGCGCGACGCCCAGATCCGCCCTCAAAATCCGATAAGCCCTGTAAATTCATCGATGATGGCAACCCGATCCCAAAGCTACGATGGTTGCAACTAGGCCTAATGGCCGACGAGCCAACCGGGCCGACGGGGCCGACGGGCAATCAACCAAACTCGCGTCCAATTGGCCAACCGCTTTGCTCCAATCGCTGAACTGTTTCATTTTACGTCATGAAGCGCAATGTTTTGCTTATTAAAAGTTGTTTTCTGCAATATTTATTTTGCTAATAACTCGCAAGATATTGCAAATTTCTGTAATATTTTTTTTCCTCGGTGTTCCTGCTTTCATGGAGCTCCGTTTCAGCGCGAACTTCAAACCGGTCAAAAAATTATTGGTGGGCCCCTTTAAGCCTCTTGCGACTTCTTAGGACAGGATGCGCTGCAGCGGAGCTGGTCCTAAGAAGTCGCAAGAGGCTTAAAAACCGGTCTGGTCTTTCTCGGTCGCAAGAGTGTGAACTTAATGGATACAGAATAACACTAACTGAAGAAATGATATTGGGCTTCAGCCTTACTAGGTTTCCCAAAAACACGGGTACATTTTTCCCTAGTGGATTCGCCACGCACATCTTACACACCTCAAAACCCCTCACTCCGCACCTGGGAAGGGGCACTGAAATGACGCCAAGAACCTCTGTACAAAAACAACTCGCGTCTGATCGGAACTAAAGTCGGTCGCACACATGAAACACAGATCTTAAATAATTACCAAGGAATATCCATTGGAACAGTCATCCTACTAGCAAAGTCGAGGATGCGTGCTGCTGAAGAACAAGGCCTCGCTGCTGCTTGCTTGGTGCACCATTGGCGACAGTTGGCTGCACTAGAGCCTTTCAGAAATTAAATGTGGCAACTCCATACAGGATCATCACTACAACCTCTGATGGAGAAGAGCGAAAACGAGTGTGAGCTCCTTGTTTAAGCGTACTCGCTCAATGTGCCGGTTATTACGTTAAGCAGCCACAAACGTAGCTCTTAAGTGTCTTAAGTCTTAAGTGCTGATAGGAATGATTTCAAAACAAACATATCCACAATAAAAAATGCCTCGGCTATAAATAATAATTTAAAATTTTCCTTTTAGGAGATTTACTGTACCTTCCACTTCTTGGTCACAGTCAGAAAGATCCTGGGGCGGCGGCACCTCGGGTGGGCAATGCCGTTCCGTTGCCCGTGCTGTGCGACGCTGGTGGCACTCACAGTCTGCAAGAGTAAGACAGAGCGTACGAGCCATTGTAACTTTAAAGGCAATTTTTGAAACAAGAAGCCTGTTTTAGTGCACTTCATATCAGAATAGCTCATAGTTCAGAGCAGCACGAACATGATCGTATGAAGGTCATCAAGCGGCCGGTCGTTAGTTATAGACCCATAAGTGAGATAATCAGTGGTCCACTCGAAAGCTGAGACACTAAGGGTGCGTGAAGAGTGGTCCGAATCAAATAGCGCACTGTCATCCATAGCCGTCGTGGTGCAAAAGAACTCCAAAACGTACCAGCACACTTTGTAGCGTTGAAGGTGGGATGGCGTAGTGCTAGTCATTTTGATCTATTTGTGCATCCAATGGGCAGCTCTGTTTGTATTGTATTATATTTTATTTTGTGTTCTATGGCGAATAGAATTTCTCGGAGTTTTTAAGAATGCACTGTACTATTTTTGGGAACAAAAACAATGAAATGAAAGATGTTTTGGTGAGTTTGTGCGTGACAAAACAAATGCAACTGGAATGTTTGTTTCATTTTAAGTTTATCTTTTTATGGCACCATACACTCAGCCGTGTCAATCTGCAAAGGTCTTATCCGTCGAAAATATTTAACCGCACAGGATATCCGAACTGCACGGATATTCCCCGCCCACAACATGAAATTCAACGAGTCTCATCAATCGAACAACATATATTGTGTGTACCCCACGGTGCCGCGTTATCCAAATAGGATTTGAGAAAGGTCTCAAATAACACAGAATGTCCAATATACAGTGTCGACAATAGTCAATTCACGACGATCGGACGGAATACGGCGTGTTTTGGGGCACGTGTAGAAGAGAGCTGCTTTTTTGCACAGCTTCAAAGCAAATGAACGAACGTGTCTATTCCGTCCCCACACCCCGGACCCGACCCCATCAGCTATTTTTCGCAGACCCGAAATATAGCCAGGAAAGCTTTGTGGAGATTATCTCAACGGAAATAATCCGCCAAGAACGTCGAACTGCATGCATCACGTGCCGCTTGTCGTTCGCTCTCTTCGTTCGTTTCCTGCGAAGGCCGAGCAGGCTACGAGCCCTGCTTTTCCCTGGTTCTCGCAGTGGAAGATAACACACAAAGGTTAAGCATCTTAAACAGGCAAATAAAGTAAAAGCTTTCAAGAAAGGCCGGCGAACTCCGAATGCACAATGCAGGTGGGGAGTCACGCTGACCGGGTTTCCACAGCTCAGGCGGGTGGCAGATATTTCTGGCTGATAGAGGTCGCTCGATTCGCAAAATGGCGGCGGCCAGAGAGCTCTATTTGCAAACGTCTATAGAAAACCGCCACAATTTACTTTTAGCATTGACCTAAGTGAAAGAACCAATCTGGGAGAGGCAAAGCTGGACTATCCAGGCTTTTTATTCCATTATTTGGAAAGAATAAAATACTTTTCATTTTATTCTGACCTGCAATCTCATAGTTTTCTCATCTATAGCAACTGTTGTGCAATGTCTAACCTGCATCCAGCACTAAAGCATATTGACATTTGAACCCTGTAGAGGGGAGAAAAGAGGGGACAGATATCACAAACCAGCACTGTGAAAGGCACGTAATGCTTTTTTGAGATTTGTGTTATCCGTCCCTTCTTTGCCCCGCTCTCCAGGGGCTAAAACGTCAGTAGTGAACCAGCTTGCCTGCACCCTTGCATTAAATGAAGCATATGTGTATATGCCAAATAATTAAAAGACAAAAGCTTTTCCTTGGGGCGTACCTCTTACTGAAAGACGCTCAAGCAGTTGTTCTTGCAGGCGCATGTTAAGCTTCCTGAGCCGGGAGTTCTCACGCTGGAGTTCTGCGAGCTCGTGCTTGGAGTGGCCTTCTTTCGAGATCTCTCGAACCAGTTCATCGGTCACAGAGGCCTTGGCAGCCATGCGTAGTCTTTTCAGTGGTTTCGAAAACTGAAATTGAAATGAATGGCTTGGTACCAATATGTTGAGGCAAATATAAATCGAGACATGTCATTCTTTCACAAAAAATCTGCTGCATGAATGCCAACTTTTTTGTTTTCTTTTCAAGCAGGGCACATGTTCTTTAGTCGAGACACAGAAAGGCTTAAAAAATATAGAACCTCATTTGATATGTAGTCCCGACTGTTACATTCACTAACACCGGTCCCCTATTAAAGGGGCCCTGCAATTACTTTTTTACTAAATTTTAATTTGCACCGAACCTTAGCGCACTGAACGTAGTAACTTAATCAAACTTTTATTTTCTTGAATTTCGCTTTATTTTAAAAGTTATAGGCAAATTAAAATTACAAAAACAAGCAAAAAAAATAACCTCCTTCATGACGTCATTGGTTGCTTCGGTGGCCATGAACTAGAGGAGGGATAGTGAGCTTAGTGAGCGCTCACGGGCTGCCGCACTCCATGTTGACGGCGCGAGAGGATGCCACTAAAGCATGTTCTGGATAGGCTGTATACAGCGGGCAGCCAGAGGGGCTCTCATTGCATTTGCTGCGTGATTGAACACTAATTCGGCGTGACACTTCATTGGCCACAAACGACAGGAAACACGGGGTAAAGATCAGTTCAGAATGGGAGCCACTTTGTGCTGTCATACCACGAAATGGCCAAACCGCCAGACAAAGCTGCTCGCCGAAGGCCTTCGGAACGCTCGGAGCTGGTCGGATCCTCCAGTCCCTACAACCGCAGCGCCGCCGCATACATTTGGGACCTTTCCGTGTCGGCGCCTGCTCCCACTACTCCTTTCTAGTATGCGCCGCTTTTTCCAGCGCTTGGTGGCGGGTATGTCGATGGGTCATTTCCTGTTTCCGTACTTTATAAACTGCATTTGTTTCTTTTCTGATCTAAAATACTGAACAAAAATTACTTTTATAAATAATTAAAACGGTTTGCGCAACTTATATTTTGTATTTCGACTAAAAAGAAGCTTTTTAGCGGCTCTGACCAGTAGTAAGCCAAGGACCAAAGACGTCACATATCGTGCCCTTTCGGTACCGCGGGTCGCCCCCGTCGGTGGAGGAGGTTTCCGCGTCGTCTGGTTAAAATATGACGCACTGATATTTAGTTACCCTCTCCGTGCCTGCTGGCTTGCCCGAAACCCAAGAGACGTGGAAACCGCAAAAAAGGTAGTCGGTTAAATATGATTGCAGGGCCCCTTTAAGGCAAATGTATTGGTTCACCACCTGTTACTTACAATTGCTTTCCCGGTTGTTACATCCAAAAGCTGTCACCTGGCACTGCTGACACAGCCAACATTGCGCTTTTGGGCCGCATGCAGCGGACTTTTAGTCTTGTACTGGCAACATGCACCTCTCTGCTGGGTTCTTTTAAAGGGACCATGAAATGATTTTAAAATCGAGTTTCATCCACCGCACGTCGTAAAAGGTGTGAAAAGAAACACAAAAACACAAAAATAGGGAGCCCAAAAAAATTATTTGCTATAGAACTTTTAAAAGAAAACTGGACTCTTTTGCGCCTCCCTTCCTTCGCCTGTTCACTACGATGCATACGCAGAATCGGTGCACGTCAGCCGAATCCACATCGCCTATTGGGTAAGAGCCTACCTCACCAGCACCGCGATCGTAAACAATAAATAGCCGGCGAATGTTTCCTAAAAGTTTTGTTAAATAATATTCAGATCCACATTTTGTAGCATAATTAGAGATGTGTGGCGAAAATTGCCAAATTTGATAATGCTGAGAGCCAAGCGACATCTATCGTGTGGTAAACGAAGCAACTACTGCGCGTGCGCAGTAGGGCAGGGCCGCCAGCTACTTGGGTGACGGCGACCGACGAACATTTATTTTCTTTGTTTTCCTTCCTCTCAAAACTCTGACTGACTGAACGTTTATTTTTCTACGTGTTCTTCCCGCGCGTGCCGACTTCAAGCAGCAAGAAAACAGTACTGAAAACAGACCACGACGAACAAGAACGCTGTATTCACCGACTCCGACGAAGCGTATAGGCCTAGCAGGCATTCCGACTCGGCGCTGCGTTGCTTCGTCGCAAGACCGTCTGCCTACGACCGGCTGGCGTGCTAAATGGAATATGCCCGCGCGACCCTTGTGGACCCTTCCCATATTATAGTTTGATCACTGACCTCAATTCTAGATTAAGAGGTGAGGAGGTCAATCTCTTCCCCTTGTTTTCCGAGGCAGTGTTGACGAACACTCGTCGAAAAGGGACTCTCGTCGATTCTATCTTCTTGTTTTGTGTGATATAGAGCTGAAATAAACGCCGTATGGATTGCCTTCGTAACACGGTATGTACACTTTGTTATTGGTATGCCATTTTTATTCTGACAGACTGCACGTCACTGTCGACCCCGGTCCAACCTTTCTTTGCCGAGTGTCGCGTCAGTATCGAGTTGCAATCGTAAAAGAACGGTCCCGAAGCACTTACCAACAGCGCGAATACAAGACTTCCATCAAGCGCGCGCGTCCGCTCCGAGTGTAAACAGGTATTTACGTGGCTCTTGCTGACACTCGTAGTTCAAACGTATCTTTTTTAACGTCGGCTCGCTCCTGCATCTCCGAGGCCGCGAAAAACGCCATCTACGTCGCTTTGCAAACGACTGACACGGGCCGGTCCTTCTGCCAACAATGACGGGGTGGTGACAAGACTCGCTGCACTTCCCAACAGGCATACCGGCGTATGGGACTAGTCCCATGCTGTCGCTGTAGCGCAACATATCTCATTGAATTTCGCTCAGCTGCGATGCGGCGATGAGAGGCGCCGATTCAGGAAATACGTCGGTGACATCAGCGCAGTAAAACCTACCGGCGCACCCCAACTCGTTGCCGCTAACACTCCCATTCTCCTACTGCCGAGAGAACTTCCGGTTCCGGAAACGGTCTACGTCACGGCTTCTTTTGCGGTCAGTTGGAGAGAATGAAAAAGTCGATGTTTCAATAATTTTTTGTGTAAAAGTTAATAAACCGAGACGAAAACGGATGCCTGTTCGGCATTCAGTGAACATTGACGGTTTAATATAAAA